GCTCTGGTTTTGTTCTGGCAATACGAAATAGGCTGGAACGAAAGTCTGACTGTCGCCAGATACCTGCGAGGCATCACCGGGGGTGTGGGTAGCTGGCATGAGCGACGCTCTGGCCAGAGGCGAAGTTGACCTCTGGCTTTCTTCTGGTACGAAACAGGTTCGAAGAAAATTCTCCTTGTATAAAAATACCTGTGAGTCATCACAGGGAGTGCGGGTAGCTGGCGTGAGCGACGCTCTTGCCGTTGGCGAAGCTGAGCTCTGTTCCGGCGATACGAAATAGACTGGCAGGAAATTCGCATTGTCTCAAAATACCTGCGAGTCATTACAGGGTTGTGGGTAGCTGGCGTGCGCGACGCTCTTGCCGCTGGCGAAGCGGAGCTCTGTTCTGGCAATACGAAATAGGTTGAAGGAAAATTTGCATTGTGTCAAAATAATTGCAAGGCATCACTGGGTTGTGGGTAGCTGGCATGAACGACGCTCTGGCCACTAGCTCACAGCTTTCGTTTGGCAAAACTCTGCGTCGACATCTCTGACACTGCAAGGGCGTGCAATGTCCGAGTGGGCATTAGGGCTGGAGGTTGGAAATGAGGGTCATGAAACTGTTTCAAAGTACGGCACTTGTTCTTCGAGGACCCCGGGAGGGACAAGTCCCCTCAGGCAGGTTTTTCATACGAGTTCATGCGTCTTTTTTTGGGTATGGCTCCAAGTTGCGTGTTATGAGGTGGAGCAGCTGCGTTTGTGGTCTGACAGTTTTGGCATACCCAAGTTGGCAGGTGTCGAACGTGGTACTGGTTATTCGTCTGGGATGGGCGTTCGGCACCACAACCTGCACTGCATGGTGGGAAGGCACAGGCTGGGCATTGAGCGTCAGCTCTGGCTCGTGCACCTAAGGGCTTGCCACAAGTGGAGCAGCACTTGTTTGCGCAGCCCTCGCATGTCCATTGTGGCTGGACCTTGGCATGGTACCCTGTTGCCTTCGGCCGAGGGCGGCCACACTTGTCGCATGGTGGATAGGCACAAGCTTGACACCATGTGTCGGCTGTTGCCTGTCCGCGCATGGCTCGGCCACACTGACTGCACGCTTTTGGGAGACACTTTGCACAGGTCCACTCAGGCATGTTTTTCACATGGTAAGCACGGTCATCTGGGCGGGCTGCACCACAGCCGGGACAAGGTGGGTAACCGTCCCGACAGGTGTCACAGTACCACTCTGGATTGTTTGCCCTCTAAAAAATGGCATGTACTACAAAATGATGCTGCCTCAAGATTGCTATCTTATGCTTACAGGTGCATAGCCATCCATACAGCAAGGTGATTTCTTTACAAAAAATGGTCTTCGATAGGTGCCAAAAACTGCCTCGTTACAAAATAGCCCCTTTGCAAGGGCCTCCAGCTCTCCCTTTTTGTAGAGGACATTTCAACGGGGATAAAAAAGGTCAGGTGTGCTTGGTTGCTGTTGCTCTCCAACCCTGGCCGTCTCCTAGCTTCTCTTGCACTCTACTCTTGGCTATCCTATCGCTCTGGGAGTTCAGCGCTGGTTGCTTCTGGTGTCTTTGGGTTGGAGGCTGTTTCTCGCTTGCACATGCTCTTGCTCTGTTCACAGGCTCGCCTGTCGTTGAGCCCACGTCTCGCCAGTCTCTGTATCTTTCCCCTTTCCGGTGTCGACTGTTTGTCCCCTTTCCGGTGTCGACTGTTTCTTGCTAACTACTCTCTGTGGCATGCTGTCTAAGTCCTTTGCCACCCTGCGTCTCCGACTTGCGGCGTCGACGCCTCAACCCCCAACCTCTCCACCCCCGCCGGCCTCGCTGGCGCATCAACTTGCAGACAATGTCCTTGAGGCTGGAACGACGTCTGCCTGTCCTCACCAGGGCTGTGGCTGGCTGGCGTGAGCGACGCACTTGTTGCCAGCTGACAGCTGCCGCCTCCCAGCGTGCATCGCGCTCCATGTGCCTCCTCTCTCTCCGACGGCTCTCCCGACTTTTGGTTGCTGCAAGCAACCAGGGCAGTCAGCCCCCGTCCCTCGGACGGGTGCTGCCGGGGTGCCCCAAACCCCGGCCCCCGTCTTCTCCGTGGAAGACTCCATGGAAACGTGGCGGGTCCCTCACCGAAACCACGCCCCGCAAACACCGCGAGCGACACCAACCGCCTCGACCCAGAACTCTCTTACCCAAGTGCGCCGGCGCCCGGCTGTCAGGCGTAAGCCTTTAAATCCGGCCAGGGGCCCGCTGGCCGTGTCCTTGCCGTAGGCGTCTCTCCTCTCCGAAGGAGAGAGTGGAGTCCCGCCCCTGCCGCCGACCCCTGCGCAGTCCCGCGTTTTACAGTGTTTTCTGCTTCTTGCATTTTTCGGCTTTGTGGCTCAAGATGGGTCAACATGGCCCAACATAGGCCCAAATAATGCTGGAAATGCGTTCCGCACCGGGGTGCTTCGTCTGCTTCGTGGGCGGCTGCTGGGCTAACAACAACAACAACAACAACAACAACAACAACAACCACAACCACAACCACAACCACAACAACAACAACAACAACAACAACAACAACAACAACGACAAGAACACTACCACGACTGCAACAAGCCCTTTGCTTGGGCCCCTGGCCGGCTGTCGGGCGTAAGCCCTTAAATAGAAATAAAATAGAACAATTATATATTATTGTTGTTGTTTAACTCATCAGCATGAGCTGTGGTTTGGACAAATGAGCCGACTTCGCGCTATTGTTTAACTCAAGATTGGGTAGAAAAGCCATTGAAGTTGCCGGGAGACTGCCGGCTCAAAGCGGACAACTCCGCACGTGCCCTCGCACGTTGCACCTGGGGAGGTGAAAAAGGATCTTAGACAGTGGCCAAGGTCCAGCATGCATTAATCATTAGCACTAACTGCTACTCTACTTAACTTGTTGAAAAAAACCTCGACAAATTTAAGCTCATCTTTCAGCTCTTTTGATACGAAAGAACGAAAAAACATGTCAGTGCATACCAGCTGCTTCCAAGGGGTCACCAATGGATATCTCCACACTACTTACAGGTCTCCATTGGGCAAAAAAACATGTCAGTGATTGTCAGTGCATAGTTGTCTCTGTCTCAGGAATGCCGGCCAGTCACCAAGGCAAAACCCATGAGCCAACCAGGACTGAGTCGGACCAAAGATGTATAACCTGAGAAGATAGAGAACAAATAGGCCTCTGGACCTTCAGAAGGGGTGGTGAGTAGTGGAGATCCACAGGTACCTGTGGGGGCTTCCAGCCAGGGTGACTGTTTGGTTCCAGTGCTGATAGCACACTCTGAAATCATGGAAGTGGATGGGTAAATAGTCCCGGAAAGGACCTTCTAAAATCCAAAGACCCCACGGTGGTGGGTGAACTCCACTTCCCTGTGATGGGTGACTCTTTTCGTGCAACCTGAGAGGAGGGAGAAGCCAGCAGAGTTTTTGACTTCTAGGCTATAGTCACCAACTTGAAATGGGCTGTCAAAAGGTGAGTGGGAAGGTAACTGGGAAGGTGCTGCTCATATAATTGTCAGATTGATATTCAGTCATGTCAACCTTCGCTTGAATCACACATCACTGATGGCATGGTTGGCCAAATTCTGCACAAAACATCCTATAGTGGTTTGAGAGTGGATGGCACAATCCCCAAAATTTGTATAAAGTATATATATATATACAATTATATATATATATTATATATATTATATATTATTATATTAACCGTTATTAACCTCATCTAAAAGATATGGAGGTGCATAATTTGTGCCATCTACTCTGAAAACCCTGTAATATTGCCAAACCCCTTTCAATGGGCGAACGACACATGTGGTCAACACACGGTCGGAACCGGTCACTGAAACACCTTGAAACACCTGTGAATGATCCTTGCTTTAGAGACGACACATCACCTGCGATGTGGGATGTCTCTGTCGGATGTTTCTGCGATCCTCAACAGGTCCACGATCTCCAAGGAGCTGAATGCACCCAGTTGAAGACCAGAAGCTGCCAGCTGCATGGCGGCTTGCCAGCTGAGGTGACGCAGCGCAATACCCAAGAGCGCATCTGTGTGGAGTTTGGCCGAGGGCTTGACGTGGAGGTCTTGAAAACACCTAAGGACGTCGAAGGAAAGATCGCCGCCAAGAACAATCTGTCTGTGGGACATATTGCACGAATTTGCATGAATGAGCAATCCGTATGATCCAACTTTAAACAAGCCACTTGAGAGGAGGGAGACACGCAAGGTAGGACAGCGGGAAGAGAAGGGAACGCAAGAGGCAGGAACAAAAATGCAATGTTCGACATGGTGATTTATCCCCTCGGAGGCGACCTTTCGTAAATATAATTTCATATGCACGCTAAATGTTCAAACATATGCTCTCGAAATGTTCACAAAGATTCTTAGGAAAACAAACTTGCCCCATGGCTCAGATCATCGGTGAGCATTGAATCGGAGCATCACAGGATTTAAACTATCCTGAAACCATAAGATGCTCCCGAAGACGGTCCCCAGGAGAGAATTGACGTGCTTCACAAAACAAACTCTAGGTATGTATCCTCTCGGGGAACACCTTTCGTGATTAGAATTTCATATGCACTCTTTCTGAATGTTCAAGAGGGTTTCAACTATCCTGAAATCATGACGGGCTCACGAAGACGTTCTCCAGGAGAGAATTGAGCGGTGTCAAAAACCATCCGGAACCTTTATTAAGATAATAAAAACCTTTCGCCAATCCCTTCGCAATGCTTTCGCGGCTGCATGTTTTGCTTTCGCCGACCCACTTCACCCAACAACCTCTTTCGCTAACCCTTTCGCCGAGTTTCTGCTACTTGCATCTAAGAAAAATATCAGAAAGGGGAATCATTCCTAATCTGCAACCACTGCTTTCGCCACATCTTCGCGAACCTTTCACCAACCTTTCGCCTGGTTATCAGGAGTCTTTGGATGACATGCTTTGTACTGAAAACCTCTCTCGCCAACCCTTTCGCAATAAAATCCTTTCATCAAAAATTCAGAGCCTTTCTCCAAACCTTTCGCCAAGCTTTCCCCAACTGCAGTTTTCCTTTCGCAAAGATTCATAATCTTAAGTCCTACCTAAATTCTTTCATAGCGGTTTATGACGTTGCTCAATTGAATTTAGAGGGGGGGGGGGGCGGTATTGAAAAATCAATTCCCGGGGGGCGGGCGGGGGGGCGGGTCTGTATTGAGAAATCAATTCGAAGGGTCGAAGGGGGGGGGGGGTGAATTGAACTATCAATTATTTGAGCCGGACCGAGGCGGCGGGGTTGAATTGAACTATCAATTATTGGACCCGGACGCGCCGACACTTGCTTCGCAAGACAAACTCTAGGTATCCCCTTAGGGGCTACCTTTCGTGATTTGCTGGTGCCAGCGCAACAAAGCAACGTCTTAGTATGTATATATATATATATATACCACAAGCTTCAAAGCGACCTCTTTGGAGTCCCTGCGTGACCTTCTTTGAAGGTCCTGGTGTATATATAATCTATAGATATACTATAGAGTGCGTACATTATATTGCACAAAAAAACACGTTTCTTTAGGGATCCCTCTAATCAGGGATTCCATACTGCTTTCAGGCTAGGCACTTGAGCAGCTGAACAGCAATGGCCCATTCGGATAATTTCAAAGCCCTTCGCAGCAGATTTCCTGACACAGCGCTGCAGCTGCTCCTGCATCTCTCGATCGCATCGTCTTGGAAGACCTCGAGCGATAGGAAGGACCAAGCGGCCTTGACCAAGCCAAAGTCGGTCAAGATCTGGATGGTCTCCATCCGTAGATCGCTTAAGTCGCCCAGGTCTTGTGTGCGGTGTCGAAGGAACTGCTTGGTCAAGAACAAGGCCCGGCGCCACTGAGAGGAGACTGCACATGAGGACAAAAGGGTGGTCATTGTTGGGAGGCCTGCATAGATGACCTTGCCAACCAGCTCAGCCTCTGCATCCTTGCTGAGGAAGTCCAGGATCTTTAAAATGCTTCTCCAGCGTCTTTGTCTGGTTAACGATTGCACCGTATTAAAGACTTGAATGCTTGGGTCCAGCCTCTGCTCGCGCTCCAACCACCAGTGTGTGCTTGCCATGGCGGCCCCACATCCATCCCATGGGCTCCCCCAGTCACTGCCCGGTCTGGACTGGGTCCTGTACAGGCGTGCGGTTCAACCCGCGCGTGTCGGGGGCCGTTGCCTTGAGCAAAATGGCCACTGATCCGGAAGAACGTGTGTTCCCACACCTTCAGCCAAAGAACCAGCAGGTCCCTGTGAGGTAGGTATGGCGCAAATGAATCCTGAGGAAATCAATTTCGAAGACTTGCTTTCCACATGGTGAGCATCCCGGGCCACCTGGTCGGTTGCTGGTCGATTAGAGGGATCCGTCCAAGGCATCCATTTTGAGGGTGCCATGGTCGTGTGTCATGTCAACAATCCCTAACCCAGGCGCTCCATGTATGCCATACATGCCGATCAGTTGGGGTGGTTTGGGGGGTCAAATGTAGGCATAGCATATATTCCATACATGGAGCGTATGGGTAAGTGGGTAAGTGCTTGGGAAGCGCTCTGTATCTCCTTGACTCCTTGCCTACGGCTCAGGAAGCTTCCTCCTAGCCAGCAAGCAACAGGTTGTGCACCTCCAGGTTGATCTGCAGCACGTGAAGTCTGGCGTGTGGCCGCAAACACTGGGTGGAACATGCAGTTGTGATCAGATCAGGAGGGTCTCAAAATAAGCATAGATGGCAATAGGTGACCTATGAATGACTCACATAATCATGCATGTTCAGTTTGGACTGAAAGAATCCTAGCTCCGAAGTTGGAGCCAAATGCCACTGACTATAACTTTGCATGTTCCTGGCACTAAGTGGATTGTAGGTACTGCAATGCAAGCGGCTCCGTCTCGCAGCCTCAACACTCTACCCGACAATCACCGTGCCTGGATGCAACATCTCTGCTCCTGATCTCCTGTCGAGAAAAGGGCGAAACAGACACTAAGCAAAGCGCCTGCAGGACATGGCTTTAGGTTGCAAACCACCAAACAAGTCCATGGTAAGGTTGCTGGGAAAACTGCTCATTTGGAAGGAATCCACCACGGAATAGTGTTCTTCAGTTGAATGACGCTGCCTTTTTTCAAGCCCAGATGTGTCAATTCCCTCGTTCACCCACATCCTCCATCCTCCTTATCACACCTTCCCTCCGGACGGTCCAAGCCCCCTACTTTTTCAACCGAGTAGCTTTGATCTCATCCGTCAAGGCATCCACCTGCTCTCGGTCGACAGCGACGTAGTTGCAGTTGTTTCAGTGGTGGCACGGGCATCCCCAAATGTTGTCTTCTTTTTCATGGGGGTCCTACTAAACCACTACTAAACCACCACCACCCCCAGTGTTGCCTTCTTCGTGATGGGCGTTCCACGACTCCACTTTCCCTTGGGGATTATGTATAATTATGCCATCTTCTCTCCACTGAATGATGTTGAATTCCAAAGCCATCAGTGCTATCCATGGAGGACTTTTCGGTGCAACATCCTCTCATGAGCTCAAAACCACCCCAACATGGAATGGCTGGTCGAAGTCTTTGTCTTGTAGCACTTGGTGATTTCAGCATGAGCGACATGTTCTTTGGGATTGCCATGGACATGAACTCATCATTATCATCCCGGGTCCCACTTCGAGAAGAATAACAAATTCGAAACGCCAATCAGCTCGTTCTCGCCAGCAAACATAAACCCTCCAACCCACCCAAAAAGGAACACAAGTGTCACAAGTGGGACAAAAGCACAAAAGCACCACCTCCTTCTGCGCATCCTCTTGCTCTCTTGTCAGCTTCTCCACCTCATCCTGCGGCTTTGCGAGCAGTGAAACACCGGCGAACACCGGCGTTTTCTGTACCTCATCAGCGCTGAAACTGTGGACGCATCGGGACATTCGGCCATGGACGCACCCTGCGGCTGACGGAGTGTAAAGCGGATACGGTTATCTGATCGGAAAAAAAGTTGTTCTGACCTCCACTTGAACACGTCTGGGACCTCCGGTGCTGGGGACCGAAAAGAGACGGCCCGGTGACCGAGTGACCGACGGTGCAGCTTACACCCAAACACGACTAATGGGACTGGCATATTTAGAGCTACGGTGGCTGAAAAGGGGTCAATGTAAATATGCCATACTGGAATGAGTACTTATATACATAAGGGTCCAGGGTCCTGTCTGCTTTCTATAAACTTGACAGGGGCACAGGTGGTTGGGTCAACATCACAATTCTGACTCCATAACTGGAGATCCCTGGAAAAGCTAAGATTTGAACTCAACTGAACTTAGTCACCTGTTCTTGGAGGAGAAACCCCAACTCCCAAAAGTTTGCTGACAAATGGACAAATGGTGAAACCTCATGTCACTGCGACGGGTTTTGCACCAACCTCTCCCCATCGCGTGCCGCGCCCCGCGTGTCGCTCCGCACCTGGGCCTGGCGGAGCAGTTGCTCGCTCTCTTCCAGGTCCTAAGGGAGTTTGGGAGTGTCGGGAGGAGTCGGGGTGCGGCCGAGATGACCACGGTGGTCAGGGGGGTTTGGGGATCGAAGGCTTCGAAGAAAGTGACATGTTGCGACTTCCAGGAAGATGAAACACAGCCAAGGACCGAGATAATTTACTAAAATGATCTTGTAACATTGTAAGTTACGTTTTGGGAACCCCCGGTCCTCGGCCCAAAACCAAGGTAAGTGGGGTAGGAATTTGAGAATTGGTTGAACATGATTATAGCAGCATAGCATTTGGGATTCAATTTGGGAATCACATGGAATCACATGTTGCAACTACACAAGGCAAAAACGATACAAGGGACCACATAGGACAACCACCACAACAAACGATGAACACGTAGGCTGCATCCTGATGAGCTTTGCGGGTGGCAAAGCCGCACTCACTCACCTGCACCGTTTTAGACTTTAAGGCCCGGCTTGAGTTCTAGCAGTGGAGAAGCATGTTCACTGGACTGGCTGAAGCCAGGGTGATGGCGGGGGGACATGCCCGACGAACGTGAACAGAAATCACATGAATGATCGACGATAGGCGATCGATTCAACTGTATTTATGTGTATTTACTGCAGCCGTGGATGATATGCCAATGATGAGGAGCAGGAGGAAGGGAGCTGGACCAAACTGCCGAAAAAGTGATGATAGAATATGTATGTAAATAATGACACATAATTACATTTGCAGTGATTAAGTTGAACCCAGCCTATGATATGGAGACCATAGATCAATGGCAATAGTTTAATAATAATCAGCATCCGAAGCATCAAAAACTGACAGTGAACATCTCTTGCAGATTCCGTGCTTTTTCTCTGTGTACAGGCAGGGTGGATCGAGGCACAAGTTAAATCGCACATAGGTACGCCACCGGCTAAGTGGAATATAAGTTCAGTTCCCCTCATGCAAGTGGGCAGCAACTACAGTCCAAAAAATGGGTGGCATAATGCCGACCTATGATTAATAAAGGTCCAAACATGTTTGTATTTTGTTTAAGAAACTTATATAGATTATAGTTTATTATTGTTATTGTTGGTTTTTACTCCTATTATAATTGTCTTTTACAATGAAACCACCAACCCCCCAAAAAAGTTTACCAGAAATATAGCAAATGGATTTTCATGAAGCCACAACACCCTAAATAAAGTTTACCCTAAATAAAGCTAATGGATTTTCATTAAGCCACCAAACCCTAAATAAAGTTTACCCTAAATAAAGCTAAAGCATTTAGTTTACTGAACAAATATCGTTTGAGTTTGTGTTTAATTGGTTCTGTTCATTCCTTTGTTAACAGATTGCTTCGTTGGATTCCTTCTCAACTAAACCCTTCATCATCAATCCACAAAACCTTCTGACAACAGTTCTGTATAAATCCCTGATGTAACAACATTGAAAATTGATCAAAGCCATTCTGGAAAGGGTTCTCCCCATAAAGCCACCAAACCCTAAATAAAGTTTACCCTAAATAAAGCTATATAAGGCCTTTTGTCTACTGAAAAAGTGATTGAATTTGTGTTTAATTGGTTCTATTAATACCTTTGTTAACAGATTGCTTCTTTGGATTCCTTCTCAACTAAATCCTTGATCATCAAACCACAGAACCTTCTGACAATAATTCTTTATAAATCACCAATTGAAAATTGATCAAAACCATTCTGGAAGGGGTTCTCCCCATGGAGCCACCAAGCCCTAAATAAAGTTTACCCTAAACAAAGCAGAGGATGTGTGAAGGTCGAGGCACTTCCAAACATTGCTTCTGTCCTTGTGACTGAGTGAGGATGTGTGAGGACCGATGCACTTCCACACTGCTTCTGTTGCCAGAAGGCACAAGCACTGTGTCCACTGCTCCAACAGGTCTTGCTGTCTCCTCCATGTGTTCTTGTGACTGAGTGAGGGCAGTGGACACAGCGCTTGTGGCTTCTGGAAACAGAAGCAATGTGGAAGTGCATTGGTCCTCTCCATGAACCCAGGAAGTGGAAAAATTGCCCTTAGAAGTCTTAGAAGGGATAGCTTTCCTCCCAACAGGGCCTGTTCCATGGAACCAGTTGTGGGATTGGAGGGAAACCTGTTGAACCCTTTCAGGACTGCATCTTTCGGGTCGCACTGGTAGCTCAGTGGCCATGTTCGGTAGTCTTCCCAAGTGCTGGTGACCAAATTACAGTAAGGACGCCACTTCGGATGCTAAAACTCCAATGGGGATGTGTCGAACAGGTTTGGGAGATCATTCCAACTTACCTGACTCGTGTGATTCATAGGGAATGAGGGAATGGCCTCAGCCTTACGCTCTCCAGTTTTCCCTTATTCCTGACGCTCGAACGTCGCACCAGTCATGACCGGCATGTAACCTGCCCCGTCCGTCCATTCCATCCGTCGGCATGTCGACTCAGCGGAGCGTCGGCGACCTTCGGCCCCTGAAGGACCGAAGAGGGGGTCTACCGTCATTGGATGCGGCACTGCCAAGGCTTGATATAGCACGGTAAGTCCTATGTCATGTCAAAAAAACGGTTGGCACCTAACAATTATACGTATAGGTGACTATAGGTAGAGCAGGATGAGGGAGGACTTGTGGCACCGTTTAAAAAGCAGCCTTGTATTGGGTTGCATGGGCAATCTGCTGATGCTTCGCATTATCGTGTTGTTGGTTCCTTTTGCCTGATGACATGGGATTTATACACTCCGGACACGAAGGGGATAGGGCACATGACTTGGAAATGCCGCGTAAGTTTCCATGTATGTTTACGTATGCTTTCTGAATCCCAATATATCAATATGTCCTTGTAGCAAGTCAATTTTGGCTGTACCCCACAACAATGCAAGTGAAAAACTGATACATTAGCACCTTGGAAGCCTTCAAATTGAACTTGTGCCATTCTTCACCTTTGTTGGGAGCTCCAGCTTTGCACGGTCCAGTGCATTTTCCGGAGTGCCTCTCGGTCCAAATCGCCCACTTCAGGCCCAGGGACGCCCTTCAATTTTTCTTGCTCTCGGTTGGCGGCCATTTGCCTCACAAACGCTCAGGCTGTGGTTTAGGACACCTACTCAAGCCATGATTGCAAACACCTTTTGAACAATTCTGCTCATGGGTCGTGGTGATGTCACTGGTGTTCTAGAAACAACATGATAACGTGAATGACACGACTTTGGGGCTTGTAAAGCTGGATAACGGATGACTCCCCTCAAATCGAGTTTCAACTGTAACATGGAAAAAATAACATGGAATCAATTGCAATAGACCTCTCACTGTTTAAAGTTTAAAGCAAACAATCATCCTGCACCAGATTAGTCTCTTGTGTATACAGGCTACACTGCGACGCTCGGGCCACACGGGTCTCCCTCTTCAACCGTCGGGCCGTGGGGTCAGCTGATGGTGTCCATCGGAGACGGCGCCACGGCGAAGTGGACGGTTTCAACCCAACCGAAAGAGTCGAAGACGTTGGAAAAGAACGTGATAATATGTGATAATTAGGTTTCTGGCACAAGGTTAGTCCTGCCTATAGGGCCTAGAATCCATCGAACCTCCTATTTTGATGGAAATTTGGGCCCCTATGTTGGAGAGTTGATCCTCCAAAACAAGGGTCGCTGAAGTTCTAGGTGGTTGATGCAACAGTAACACAGTTTTATCCCCCAAAAAGCCGCTCAGCTTGGTACCTTGAAGGACGGATATCGAAATTGACTCTGAGAGTGGGCCTCCTGTCAAACCAAACACCGGGACCCTGGCTTAAAGTGGTGTACTTAAGGGACAAAAACCTACAAGAAACAATGGCTGTGTGAAAACAATGGTTTCCTGTAGAGTAGATTTCCTCAAACTATTCCTCTCCAACACATGCTCCAAGCTGCGCAAGGCTCAAGATTCAGTCCGAAAGCCCGCAAAGTCCATCAAAGTCCCGCGACGCGCGTTCCCCGGCCCACGTTGGCCAAGGAACTCGTCATAAGCCAACTCCAGCTGTCGGGCTAAGTCCTTGGAAGTCGCCTGGCGATGCTACTTTTCCCATGCCCCCAAATAAGAAGTGACTTGAAGCAAACAACAAATATCCAAACAACATGTGTGGCAAAATCTGCATTTCCAGAAGGACAAAAAGATACAAGAAGGCATCGTTTGCGATAAGATGTGACAAGTAAATGAGGTTTCCGTCATTCTTCATGTTTCAGTGCTCCGCACTGATCCCCCACCAAGTGCGGCGGCCACGATTGATCTCACATGCAGCTGACTCCCGAGTCATTACGATGGACCATTCACGGAACGTTCCACCTAATTTTGCTAAGGGGAACCATGGATAAACCCATTCCCCGCAAAAAGAATTGGCCATTGTAAAGGTTCACCCATGTTCCTGTCGGTTCAAAACACTGGGTGGAAAAGAGAAGAACTTTCCTGTATTCTTTGTAAAAAGGGACCATTATAGTTTTCAAAGAAAAAGGTGGGGCAAGCCTTTATGTGTGCAAAAGATTGAACAAGCAGGTGATGCACATGTCACTCCTGTCATTCACCGTGTTCGGACCGTCTCTCTTGCGGAGCCGCTCACACCGGTGTCGGCCAACCAAACCGGGCCCCGATGCTGAGCCGAGCACCGTTCTGAATGATGCTTTCACGAGTTTAACGAGTGATTCGACAGCTTTGAACAGACATATATATATATACATATAAAAAAATCACAGCTTCCACACGAAATAAAAGGACACACAGTCAAACGAACTCGGTTCAATTTTTGGCTTCAGTGTTTGAATGGATTTGAGGATGCCTTCCACGAGTCACCCCAAAAGGGGCCGGTCCCAGCCCAGTGCGATAGCAGCGGCCCGCCTCCAAATCGCTCACCCTGATCCGAGTGCGCGGATAGGATGGGCCAAGGCTGGATCTAACTCCCATGTTCATGTTCCAGAGATCACTGGACAATAGTATGCATAATATGTAAATATATTTAGAGTTACTAATGTAATATATATATATATATCACATCCATACAAATGCATGTTCCCGGGACTTTCCACCTTCTGGAGCTGACTGGGGTTTCCCCAATTCCCAGAAGAAAAAGGTTCAATAGAAATCAACAAGTAAATTTTGAAGTAAGGTTCACGCACTGACTGGGTGGGGGATGCATGTTGCTTTCCAAAGCTCCTAGTCTTAGATCTCATATGACCGCACGGACCTTCTTCGACCAACCTAGTGGAGTCGGCCTGAATGCTTCACTGAGTGACCTCACAATACCTCAGTAAACCATCCGGTCGCCTAGTGACTTCACTAAGGCGCAGATCGTTCCCAAAAGCATCACATTGACCGTCATTGACCCTTCTTAACCACCCTTTTCTGCATGTTCCCGGATCCATCGTCGATCCTGTGGACGGTCTGGGGATGTCTGGTTGGGGTGTATTGGATACACCCTCCAGAGAGCATCGGCCGGGTGCTACAGGGTACATGACTGAAAGCAAAACCAGGTATTGGATGGTACTGGCCGGTACTCTTTAGGAGTGCTGTGAGGGTCCAGGAACTCCGCAAGAGCTGTCCGGCCAGGTCCGGTCCCATGGTCCGGTCCCGAGCTTCGGCTCGACCTGGGCTTTCCCGGTGACGCCAATTGGAGCGGACTGAGCCAGGAGTGTCTCACTTGACTCAGCCAGGACCGGCGTTTAGGGTTTAGGGTGTAGGGTTCATCGTGTCGATGGTCCTTCCCAGGTCTTGTGCTTGGGGATCTTGTGATACCAGGACCTTCGAGGCGTGACTAAATCTCTCAGGGTCACTAGACTAGACGGCCCGTTTGATAACGGTCACGGGCAGAGCGACTCCGAGGTCAGGGTCGCTTTGAAGGTCCTGGTCCAACAGCAGGACCATAGATATCTAATCAAAAGCAAACCCAAACACTCCATGGGACTGCCATATATGCCTACATTACGGTGGTTTTGGGAGTCAATGTAGGCATATATGGCATACATGGAGTGTTTGGGAAATATATCCTCTCGCACCAGCACACTTCCAACTTCTTTTCGCTCAGCACCTTTTGCTGATCTGCTTGGATTAGGCAGCCGTCAGCGATTCCATCCGGGGTGATGCCTGATTAGGCAAATAAGTTGCTGCTTTTGTCGACCTAGAATGCTAAGCTCCGGCAATACAAACAACGTGTGAGGGTATTCAGGCTCTCCGTAGATGCAAGGGATGTGGGATCCAGCCCTTGAAGCTTCAGGATCTCTGTTTGCTTGCCTGTTCCTGGGCTCTAGGACAATGGCCCTACGGTCACTCTGAACTTTTGATTTAAACATATTCCTGATTATTCCTGAGTGTGGACTATTCCCGTACTTGATTGCCTGCACAGCTGAGTCAGGCACCAGCTTCATTTCTTCAATACAGTTTGTAAGCCCTTCCCGGGGTGGAAGCATCACTTATAAACAACTTTAGTTCTGGATCCTTTCTGCCTCTCTCCACAGATTCATTTTTGTGAATCAACCTGTGCGTGCTGGTCGTCGTCAAATCAACCCAAGCCAAGCTAAACATGTCTGAACCGCCAAAATAAGTGCCTAACTAATAGAAGGACCACAAAAAAGTACCCCAAGAAGACATATATGGATGGCGTGTGCCATTTCAACACCAGGGACTCCGTGCTCTCTTGTGCTATCATCGGATCCAGGCTAACTCTGCACAATAAAGCTACAACATCTACAACAGCTTGGCAGGGCTTCGTGCATTCAGTTCCATGATGACTCTGCGACACCCAAGTGATTTGGAATCACGCCAACTGCTGCAGCGGCCGGCCAAAGTGGTCGGCACATGCTACGGCCGCTGAAGAATTGCCACGGCAGCTCGTGGCGCTTGTTTTTGTTGGTCCCTTCTCGTTGTCAGGCTCTTCTGGTCCCGAATGACGAGACCCATAACGAAGACTGGTGAACGTGGAAGGCCAAGATCTTCTGGGCTCACACCAGGCCTGGGGATTCCGAAATCATTTCATTGACTTCTCTTCTTGTCTTCTCTTTATCCAATACCCATCCAATTCAATGGAATAGTTGCTTATAGACCCCTTTTATGACCCATTTTAGGATGGTCTGGGTACTGTGACTCACCGAGGTTTGGGTGGGGCATCGCTTGAACGCGTGGACTTGGGCATATTGTGTGGGGGGGTATTGGACAAGAACAGTGGAAGACCGCTCGAATCCAAGGTGACACCACGCGGAGCATCGCGGAGCTTATGAAAATGGATCAGACCATCACCTGAACTGATGCGCATGATGGGAGAGGAGCGTGAGGTGTGAATTGGAACATCAAACGAGGGGCAATCATTCGCGGCAAAAACATGCAAAAAACAATGGCAAACACAGGTGGTTCAAGTGCTTTTAGTTGGCTCATACTGTAGTCACATGCTACCATATAATTACATGGACATACATGGACTTAAATCGACTTAAAGCTCTCACCAATTCAGGATGTCCCTTCCTTTCCTTCCAGCCATCGATCCCATTTCTCATGCCTCTGGCTGATGAGACTTGGGACAGCCGCCCGCCCGGATTAGTGCGACCTTCCTGGAAAAACGGCAGCCTCTGTTAGAGTTTGGCCACTCAGTGCGCATTGAGCATGAGCTGTCGCTCTCCAAAATTGATCCTTGACTCGGGCAAGGGACTTGGCCAAAGCATCGAGGGTCCACATTGCTGTTCGGCACCTGTTTCCTGGACTTTCACCCATCTGTTGAGGCTGTGTTTCGGCCTGGACCTTCAATGCACAAATGAGTACCTGGCACCTGTTTTCATAGGCTCACATGCCCCATGTTCTACACTTTGGAGGGTCTAGGGCTGGAGGCTTCAGACTAGGAGATTCATGGAGATTCCAAGATTCAGTTGATGGCTCAGTCATCCATTTTTAGAGCCATGGACAAAAGGTCTGAACACAATCAACGATTTTGCGAGGAGGTTCCATCAGCGGAGGAAAAGACCTCGGTTCAATCCGTTCGTCCGGTAGACCATCCGAGACTCATCCAGCCCTTGTTGGCTTCGTCATCGTCCATGGGCTTCTTGATCATCTTGCGGATCTCCACGCAGCCGTAGTAGCCTGAGATCCGTTCTGGAGAAAGAGAATCTTAGCGGTGCTTTTTGGAAGTCTTCGGCCCCTTCAGCCGGAAGGTATGCCTGGAGATTTCAGCTGTGATTCTCAACCTTCGATCCACCCTGCCCCCCTGCCAGCTCCACAAACCAATGAACAAGAAGCGCCTTCGATCCATGCAAATCATGTAAGTCTTTTGGGTTAGCTGCCACCTTGCCTTCCAGGCCCCCAAAAAGCACTAAAGAGCGCTTCGCGCTTCATTTCCCAATTGTCAGACCAGGAAACATGCTTCCATTAAAAAACGCTCCTATAGGGTTGTTGCTTGACCTTCAGAGAGGTGGATCGAGTTGCACCACCTGCGGGAAAAAACAAAACTCGGACCTGCGAACTCCCAAATCCAACCCGGCCCAAGCCACCCTGGGCTTTGACAACACTGCCTGATGCCTTCTTTGAGAGCCTGCCTTCACTGCCTTCACTGCTAGCTACCGCAAAGGAGCCAACTTTGTTGTAACGAAGGTCCAAGTACACGAGGTTCTGCCCCTTGTCGCACACAAAGTGGTTGCCTTCGGTCGCATCGAGGAAAACAAAAAAAAACATCGAATGGTCGGGAGGTGTGGCCAAGGCCACTTCCGGTCGCGTAGCTTGCAGCACCTTGCAACATTGCACCTGTCGCTCACCTACATGAAGTACTTGAAGTTTCTCTTCCAACAATCGAAAAATAGTTTTGGCCTGGAGTTGCTGGGCTTTTGTGAGCGTCCAGCAGCTATCATTCCCTCATCCCGTTCGAGCATCCTTCCGGGTGGGCTGGTATATAGACAACAACGCTTCTTGGGGTGAGTGTCATTGGTTTCTTTAGAGTGTCTTGGTGCTTTCGAGTGTCTTCCCTAAAAAACACCGCATTCTCACTACCTTTGGTGATTCTGGCTAGGCAAAACGACCGAAGACTCCTGCCGCTGAGGTGCTCAATGCAGCAGCGCCCTTCTCCATGATGGAGTTCTGTGCCAAGCCCAACCTCGGGAAAAACCCGTGTCGTGGCACCAAGCCCAACCACCACAGGCCAGCAAGGGTACGGCCCTCCGGGACTTCGGAAAGTTAAGTCAAGTAGATATATCCTAGAAGAAAGCTTCACCAGAGTATCTCTTCCTGCCGATGTGGGCACCACCCTTTTCAGTCCACTCCCCAGCGCAACGTCTCGCGAAAGAAGGTGGGCAAGCAATATCAAAAACAACATGAACTCACCAAACACTAGTTAATGGTGGGCGGGTTACAAGAGACTATGACAATGTAAAGCCGTCCGGGTAGCGGGAAGCTATATAAATGTGAATCAACAGTCAACACTGCACAACCTCACGAAAGGAGCTCCTTCAAAACTTGACTGTCACCAAGGCCTTGCCCGGGAAGGGTGTAAGCAATCCCAGGACCATCCTGGGACTGGAATAGATACTTACAGTGTCAGGTTCATCGGGTAAATGTATCTATAACTATTCCAGTCACATGGATGGTTTGAATCCTGGATCTCCCAGCACCGCGACCGGCAAACATCGAGGCACTTCTGCAGGGTCTTGTTGCTGGCCAGTCCTTTCACCAAGTCCAAGGCTGCTTGAGTACCTCGAACCGGGAAGCGTTTTGGGGGGGCAGTTGGGCAGTTCCGGAAAGAACCAGAAAATGCGTACCCTAAAAGGAGATGTTTGCAAATGTAGGTGAGCAGCCAGAGAACATGGGAAAACAAACAACATATCCTACAGGTCAAAGACCTCAATTGACTGGAGTTGAACATCAAACAAATACTCAATGAGGTACAGGGACCAGCCATTAACTTTACTGGGTCTTGGGACCTGTAGGGACAAAGCAAGCCAAGGTGCCCAAGCTGTTGCCATTCAGCTCCAGGTTGCGAAGCTTGGTGTTGGTGGCCAACCTTAGATGTGCCAGCACCCTCCAACACCTAACAAGTCGCAGCTTTTTGAGAGACTTCTAAGAGACTAGGCATAATGTGTCTTAATCATAATGTGCAATATTGTGCTTATGATTATGTATATACGGAGTGCCCCCAGGCGAGGGGGGAGGGGGTCCTGCCATTTCCCTTTTCCAGAATTGGAACCGGCCAAACTGCTGGGTAACCATCCTGTGGGCAGTAGGTGGCAGGTAGATGGGAATCTCGAAAACGCCTCAATGAATGGTTACATGATTCTTGACGCCTGATTGACGCCCTGTGGACCTCAGATTTGTGCAGAACTATTTCATCTGTTTTGAAATTGTTAAAACCTGTTTCCAACAGATTTTTGAGTGCTGCTTGAATTCCTGCAAGACTGCCGCTTTTTCGGTGATTGACTCGCCACTAACTGTTCACTGTGTACTTCACCCTGAATGGGGGTAATTACCCAATAGCCCACTACAAATGATCATTTTCATAAACAAACCAATGGTGACTGGGGGCACCCCTATTTATGGAAATACCAACAATGTCATTTCTACACGATAGTTCTTCTCCAGCTGAGGTGCCAATTCAAAGCCACTCGGATCATTCCCCACTTTCTGCACAGGTGATCAAGTCCCCGCGCAAGCGTTGCAGTCTTTTCTTCCGTTTAGCTTTCAAAGTCCTTCTGGCGTGGCTCAAAATTCGCCTGTGCGGTGTGATGATAGATCAATCCTCTTGGTGTTGCTGACCCAAAGTGACAAATGGCTGATGTTTGACCAATGGCCAATTGGGAATGGCTCAGAAATGGGGAACCAAAAAGCCTACAAGATTGATGATATTTAGTAGTAAACCAGGCCTCAATATTTTGGTACCCATAATCTTGAGCCACAGCCAGTCATTGTAAGTGGCTAGTCGAATGCTATGCATTCATCCTTAACTCGTGGCTGATGAAACACGAAGCACCAGCATGAACCGTGAAGATCCATGAACTCTTGGCGTTGAGATGACGGACCGTTGATCATCGATTGGTATCGATCACAGCTGGTTGCCATTGCTTACTGCTGTTTTCCAGTGGTTATCTGATATTTGACCTGTTATTGCACATGGGGTTCATCATTGCCGTTTTGCTACTGACCAATATCATCAATGATCACCCATAGTTTTATATCATGAAGCCCATGACTGCACGTAATCCATCAACAATTCCTCATCGCAATTGATCAATTGATGGCTGAGCGCTGAGTGCGATTCTTGACTTTATTGATTATTGCTGTTGATGTTTCTTGATCAGTTCTTGATTTGGGTCGGGGGTAAAATACGGGTACCCTCAGTCACCATTGGTTTTCCTCTTATAATCATCATGAATCTCTTGGATTATGAAGGGTACCCCTATAGACATATGGTTATGACTCAAAAAGAAAGGGTACAAACAACCCGGTCAGAATTGATGGTTTTGTTTACACACATTTGCCGGTAAGGAATGGTCACCGTGAATGCTCATCATCGTCAACCGTTGATATATCGTTAGTTCAATGAACAACAAAAATTACTTTATGCAGAGCAATTGCCGATCAAATAGATTCATGGATCATCGTTGGTCTCTAGGGTTGCCCCTCATCATTATGGTAAACATGCACATCATCAATGATTCGTTTGAATGTTCCAGGGTTGCCCTTCAAGAGCCCAAGTCACAAAGTACCAGTAGTTGCACTCATTCGGGATGCTGAATATGCTTGTACAATCAACAGACTGCCCATGGTGGTCCAATCGGATCTCAGTCAGATCCAACACTACTCAGCACACGGCTGGGCTCAGGCTTGGCTGTGGCTGGGCGGGCTACTGATCAGCTTCCGACAATATTCCAGGAGCGGCTTGTGGTGGTTGAAGATGGTCGGTCCTTGGCGAAGGCGAAGGCATCCCAGACTCATGAATCATGAAGGAGCCAACATTCCAGAGCAAGCGTGTTCAGAAACACTTCAGAAATCCGAAGCATGGAGGCAAGTGCAACAAGCATGGTCCGAGCATGATTGGACCTAACAACTACTGCCAAACCGCTTAAAAACATGCTTGGTAACAAAATCATTCGGTGCCCCTGCAGTCTTTGCTGACAATGCACCCCTCGCGCTTCAACTTTTTGGCTCCGCGGCCACGCAGGCAAGAAAGATCTGGGCCTGCAGTTTGAGTTTGCTACTTGTTGGCTACCCCGCCAACAGTGTGCCCCAAAACAATGGAATGCGAGTTGTCCTCAAACTTTTGCGCATATCTGCTTACATATCTGTGCAAAGTTTCTGTTGCGAATCTGCTGGTGGAACATCGGCGCATGACTGCTATGGACGCACTGTTGTGTGCAGGTTGCGCGACTTTGCGCGCGATGCGAGCGCCGGGCCGCTCAGACTCAACGCCGCGCTGTCCCAAACAGAAGCGGCGGGGCATGCTCATTGATGTCAGTCAAGAGCTGCAGCCTGACACTGAATTGCAGGTTGCCAAAATGCGGCTATTTGAATGAGGACTAAATGTCACGCAAATTGCAACAACAGTTTACATTTATCAGCAAATCAAAGCCAACACCGCTGTTGCTTCGAGCGAAAAAGATGCTTCGAGCGAAAAACGAAAAAGTGCGAAAAAATGCAATATAAAGCGACAAAGATGCGGGAAAAAAAGGAAAAATGCGAAAACAATGCGAACAAAGTGCAAAAATAATGCGCTGAAAGTGCGTGGGGAACGACCTAGATTGCTTTGTATTTGCACTCTTTTTTTTGCATCACATCATTCTAGCTGTTTTTCACTCTTGCTATGCATTTGTTTTGCATTTTTTCGCATTTTAATCCAGATGGGCTTTTCCTAATGGAAGCCCACAAGCACCCATCACAAGTGTAGCAAACTGTGAGCAAGACTGGGAGACCGGAAAAACCTTATACTGACTCAGTACTGACTTCAGGAAGCCGAGACAAAGCTTGCTCACGGACGCTGACCGTATGTCACCCGATGATGGGGGCAAGCACTCATGCCAGCTTGCCCAAAACCCACACACTGTAGTCTTTGTCCTTGCTGGATTTGAGCGCGCGCCATCGCTGTATGAAAAAGTGGCCGGCGCGCAATCGGACATGTTCAAACAGAGGCTTCTTCTTCAAACGGGCAACGCGGCCCTCGGAATCAACGAGTTGCACCCCAGCTGCCTGCCAAATTTCACAGGTCCGGGCTACAGCGCCCCCATGCGATTGAGGCAGGGTTGAGATTGAGATCATGGATTTGTTGGTCAAAAAGGACAAAATGGCCATGGCAATGATTTGGCATTCTAAAATCTACTGCCACTCGCAGGCCACTCGCCCAAAACCAGTAGTCATGTTATGTTCCAGGTGATCACAACAAATAAACACTACCAATCAACAAATATGGATATTACTGTACATTTGTATGATCGTGTAAATATAACTTAGTGAAAGTCAAGCCATCGAACATGTGTACATGAGGGGGAAGCAACCCCCCAATCCTTATTTGCAGGGGCCAATCACTAATTGCAATCCCCAACCGTCCCCAACTCACAACTCCCACCGACTATTTGCAAGGGTCGAAGCACTAATTGATTGCAAGGACCGGATCATTTGCATGAACTCCTAAGCCATCCAATGCTTTTTTTGAAAGGGTTGACCCGTACAATTAAGGTAGGGTTCGCTAGCGAACATGACACTTGAACCAAAAAATCAAAGGAACTTACAAAATCATTGGTCATCACTCCTTGGTTGAAGGGTTTGGTTGCTAATTGCAGGGGCACCCGCAGGGCACCCGTGCAATGAGTGATCTGACTGTGGCAATTAGGCCTCACACAACCCCTGCAATCAGTTACCAGCTCTCGTAGTCAAAGACTGGCTTTTTGCAGGTGCAGGTTCTGTCGCCAGAATCAATGATCAATGCAAATAAGAACTAGATCATATGCCAAGAAACCACCACTCAGTCATGTTGAAGTTCCAAAAAACCATGTCAGGGGGTTGCAACAGGTTGCAACCGCACTACTTGCATGGGCGGGGTCACCATCAGGTCATAATGGCCAAGGGCAGGCTAAGGAAACCCTCACCCACGAAATTTGGCGCCGCTGCCTCATGAAGTTTTCGCAGCTCGAAGATGAAGTCTGTGATGTTTGCACGGCCCCGGGGAGTGTTGGCAAAACTCTCTGCTGTGTAAATGGTTCTGGCAGGGCTGGTGTCAGTTCTAATGGCAGGCAAAGCAGAAGTCCGAAAATTTCTCAGGAGTGCCCAGGTGTCCACAGAACATACTAGCGCAATGCGCTTGCATGGAACCGGACCAGTCTGGGACTCTGCATGGGAAACAATAGCGGCTAGCGAACTAAGCGTACATTATTCATCTCAACACAGATCTGCCGAGCAACCCTACAACAATCTCAAAGCAATCTACGCTGCGCTTTCATGAAAAAACGTAGTATATAGCTCGGTTATTGCTTGGGGCCCCGCAGAATTTTACAAATTGTTTACCAATGCAATGTGCAAAGAAAATGCGCGCAAATAATCCATATTCAGATCGTAAGCTTCCAAGCTATCCGCTGCCACTGATTGCCTTCACCTAAAATCTGGCTGTCAGGGGGCCTGCACTCATTCTCAATGAATGTGAGGAACTTGTTGGACAGTTGCGCGACGACCAAGTAATCTGGATCCAAAGGGGTCAAGATTCAAAGCAGGGGAAGCGCAACTCACTGTCAAAATGACTTCCTTCTTGTTGGAGTGCAAGCGAGGGTTCATGATGGCAACATGAATCTGGGCTGCCATCTTCGCTTCAAGAGCCGACCCGATGATCTTGGGCCGATATGAATGTTGGCCTCCGCGAGGACCGAGATTTTTCCGTCGATAGAGCGCCCCTCGAAAAATGTCTGTCACCAAGGCCAGCATGGGCTTGTGATGGCGAGTGGCACGTACCAGCAGAACTTGGTACTTCCTTTCTGCTGTTTCACCTTTCTACCCACAAGGCCAGAAAGTAGTCACTGGGTGAAG